GTACGACGTCTGGAAAACCAGAACCTACTATGTTCTGGAGTATAGAAGGCAATCGAACTATTATTCTACCAGGAATGTCAAAAGGCAAATATCACGCCTCACCTGTAATTAACGGCATTTCAACTCTCACAATTAATGATACAAAGAAAAACGACAGTGGTAGCACGATAGTTTGCTCAGCGGTTAACTTTGCGGGGAGTTCATTTCTTAGAGGCAAACTAACCGTAACATCGGACGATGACCGGCCCCCACCGATCATAACAAACGGTCCCTCTAACCAAACCTTACCGATAAAATCGATGGCAGTTTTCCCCTGTTCGGCGATCGGCACACCTGAACCGGTCATAGCTTGGTACTTTGAAGGGGAAGCTTTGATACAAAACTACAGAAGAAACATTTCGGGCAGTGGCACACTTATTTTAAAAGATTTAGATAAAAGTGATAGCGGTACATATACGTGTGTCGCTTCTTCCCCTCAAGGAAAATATGTTTGGAGTGGAGTTTTGATTGTAGATACACCAACAAATCCTAACATACATTTCTTTAGAGCCGCAGACAATTCTTCGTTACCAGGACCACCAACGAAGCCACAAATATTTAACATTACAGAAACAAGTGTAACCCTTACATGGAATCAAAACAATAAAATTGGATCATCGTCTATTCTAGGATATCAAATTGAAGTATTTTCCCGAGAGACACTCTCTGGAAACAATACACCGAGAAATTCACGTGGTTGGGTTACCGTAGCTAAGAGAATACATCATACACAGTTTGTTGTGAAATCTCTCATACCTGGAATTACTTATATGTTTATTGTAAGGGCAGAAAATTCTCACGGACTGTCAGCACCTAGTCCAGTTTCTGATTCAGTGACAGTCGGTGAGGATAATTTATGGTCCAATGGATTTTTCTCGAACAGCACAGAGAATAGAAATAATATAATGACAGACAACATCGTAGAGCTCATCGAAGCGACTCCGATCGATTCAAAAACAATAAAGCTTATGTGGGAAATTTTAAACTTCTTTTATCTGGAAGGTCTTTTTATATATTTTCGTCCGCTGGATAATTCAACTGAAGAATACGAAATGAAAACTATTTTACATTCAAACGACGTATCTGGATACGAAATAACATCTTTACGGAAATATACTAAATATGAATTTTTCCTCATACCTTTCTACAAGAAATTTGAAGGGAAACCCTCCAATTCCAGGGTTGCACAAACTTTAGACGATGGTAAGTAAATTTAGTCTTATTATGCTTGTCAAATATATTCTTGTCTAAAACAAAATTCTAATATAATTCGTTTTTTTAGTACCAGATGGACCTCCAATAAATATTGAACTGCTGATATTAAATTCAACAACAGTTCACTTAAAATGGTTTCCACCAGAAGGTAACCTGCAAAACGGTATCATTATCGGTTACAATGTCCTCGTAAATTGGTTAGATATCCCTGCAAATAAATCAATGGTGGCAATAAACACGACAGTTCAACAAGCAACTAGTCTAATAATGACAAATCTGACGACAGGAGTCAGTTATTCCGTACAAATTGCAGCCGAGACATTAGTTGGCTTAGGACCGTTCAGTCAAAAGGTGTATTTCAACACGGATTCTCGATCTATTGGATTAGATCCGTTGTCGAGGTAAATATATTTGCTATTATTTGTATTGGATTATCTAATACGTATCATGATTAACGTTACATTCTATTTGCAGGTATCCAATAAATGGCGAGGTATCAATCGTAGCAGGAGATTTTGTGCTTGAGTCATGGTTCTATTTCCTTATCGGTGCAATAATATTATTTAAAATCATAATGATCGGCGGTATCATTTATGTGCGGAAGCATAATATATTTGCGAAAAAGTCTGCTCTACCAAATATATACGGTAAATATTCCTTTAATTCAAGTTAATTTGAAAACAAAAGATACAAATATGCAGCTTATCTGCATATTTTATGTTTTTGTGAAGAATCAACATCAGAATTTCAAAATTAAAAACATTCCTCGGGTGTTAAGGGGTGGAACGGGGTGCCGAGCATTTGTTTGATGGAGGCTTTGCCATGCGACGGGGAGTGAGGGGCGCTAGATTACTTTCGAGTTGAAAGGTAGCACGAGCCCTCTCTCGTGAGCGTAGTAGATCTCTTTCACTTTAAATTCACGTTTGGGCACAAAGGAATGATATAAATACAAAAAAAATGAAGCAAAATAAATATAAATGTTTTCTTCTTATTCTTGTGGGCGATTCGTTCATGAATTCAGCCGCTTATTATTAAGCCAATTTCACTTGTTTGTTATGAATTTTAAGTTATCTTGGCTTTGAATTACAAATTTCTTGTCTTTATTGTTTCCAAACCAAATTAAAATGCTTATTATTAAATTGACGATTAAGAACAATATCATTGATAGAATTACTAATGTTTCTAGTTATTAATAGTTTACTCTTACTATTTCTTGTATCTTACTATGTTTTTTATATTTTACTTTACTAAATATGTTATAATTTTAGATTCCAATGGTACGAGTTTGGTTACTCAAATGAATATAAAAGCTGCGGTATCATTGTCACATCCACTGAGCAGCTGCTACAATAAAAATGCAGTAACAAAAACGGAATCTCTCTTATGGATGGAAAACCAGCCTGGCTTGTGTATGTCTGGTACACATACAAGTCAGAGCAAAGATAAAACAAATACAGAATATGATAAAGTAGCACAGCCATTACCTGAATATGCTGAAGTATCATCTTCGAGAGTGAATGGCAACGAGTGGAACACTACTAAAACTGTGAATAGCCCCGCAGCGTACGCTTCAGTAACTCTAGTTGCTAACACTCGGCAGTGCGTTAGCTCGCTGGTAATTAATATACAACTATACTTTTCAAACATAAATTCTTGTTGCACATTGAATATTTTTACTGATATTAAAATCGAGATACACTGTAGAATCTAGATGAAATATAATCGTAACGTTCATACCGTAAATATGTTTAAACATAGGGAATTAAATAATCCCAATCGCAATTATTCTTAAGCAATTTATTTGATGGTTTATTGATTAACGATTTTGTCCTACAGGGCTGGTTTCCTCCAGGAAGCAAAAATTTGGATAATTTTGATAACTCCTACATGCCAGATGAAGAACTGTATCCCGCAAGCAATGGTGGCTATTACAACCGAAATGTATACAGTGAGAAATATTTTCAAGGTCATCCTAATGTATTGAAGTTTCACGATTTACCGTCTCTAGAAAAAACACAAAAGGCTCAAATAAGATATAACCAGAGTATGGAAGACAGGAAAAGTGATATCAAAACGGATGTCACCCAGTCATTGATAGGACGACAGTGTGGTATAAATTCGCGAAACAATTCTGAATCCGAGGCAACGTACAGAGCTTTTGGTGAAGAGGAGTCGGATGAAGAGAATTATTCGGTTGAGTTAGCTTACGACGAATTGAATCAACAAAGGCATAGAGCTAAACATCAATACGAAAGGCCTAATTTCGACAACGACGGTACACGGACACTAGCCCGACTGACGTCATTCAGGCACGGCCAGACAGTGCTGAGTGGCGCGTCGCAAGCCCCCCTTGCACCTCCCCACCCTCCCCCGGCGCCACACCCGCGTGTTGATTCAGTGACACGGTAGTATCACGCCCTGCCGGTTTTCGGCGACTTGTGCCAAACGGACGTTTAGACCGACTTGTTTCACAAGAGTGATTAAATTAGTGACATCATTAGAGATCGCAGCTCTTCCTTACACTGTAGAGATCTTTTTGATGTAATATATTATGTATAATTTCTTCCTTGATTGGACTCTACGGACACTTTTCTGTTAGAACTATTCCTTGATGGCCTAATGACACTTTTGTACAATGCTTTCTTTGGTATAACTATTATAGCTTCATATGTAATGATTGTTTATCATATAAACTAGTCTTTATAGTTATTGAATTGTAAATAATGTAAATAGAATATTATTGGTAAATGTATTTAATGCTTAAAGTAAAATATATTATTCCTAAGATTATATAATATGATAATGTATATCGTAATAATTTAATGTAATTATCTACTGGGATTGAATAAAATCGATTCGTCCGTCTCGATATTGATAAACGAATTTGTAACCATATATCATTAGTATAAGTATAATCTGAGAATGAAATACGCTTGGCAATAATTGATAATAACTTACATTTCACTGTTATGTAAATAATGTGTAACTTTAAGAAATTCTTCTTAAATACATTTATCGTTTTTCTAGCAAATGGTATTACTTTGCACGTTATAAAGGCCTAGTATTAAATTTGAACACGATTAGTATAAAGAAGTTTGCAACTAAAAAGTATTTAAGGTTGAATTTGTTCATAGATTGAATAGACTGTTGTAGAAATAGGGTTAATAAAACTATAGCATTTCCTTCAAATTTACTTTTAATTTTATTTCGAGTGCCATAAGACTTTATTCCTATTGTAAAAATTCAAGTACTAACATTCGAGTTGTGAGATGAAATTCAAATGAAGCTTTTATAAAGTGAAATTTAATCTACGTAAGTTAATGTGATATGAGTTAAATTATAACCACTTGTTATTACAGCATAGCACGACATGTATTGCATATCATCTATGTTAAGTAAGTTATAAGTAAACAATGTTAACTTAGGACGCTTCTAAATAAAGAATAATGACACTCCTGTCATACATACTGGCATCCTTGTCATTCACTTTGTAAAAACTGAGACAGTATGTCAGTATAAGCGTAACAGTAGTGGAACTTTCGGTATAGTTAAACATGGATATCTGACCCGATGAGAGAGAGACACTGCTGTCATTTGTCAGAAAATACCAATTTGTACATAGAGAAAGACATAAAAGATTAAAATTACCCAAACAGATACAGTACAAGCAGAGTTAAAAAATAAAAAGATAGTACAGATAACACTACGCTTGAAACATTTTTCGCATTCACACTAGCGCTACCTGGTGTCCGAAAATGAAAATCACAAACAAACATGTAATTTACAGCTGAGAAGCGTCTCGGCATGTCAAATTCCACATTGAGATATTACCGTACAAAGAAGTTACCAGTGAAAAAATGTTGTTTCCTATGTCTAGTCTACATATTTCTTAGACGTCTTTGAGTACAACAAAGATCTTGTGATCCTCATTGACAGGGTGGCGTTAGTGTGCTGTCATTTAGATTGACTTCAACCCACCGGGTCAAATATCCTTGTCGGTCTACAAATATGTACATACATACTATGTAATATGCAAACAAAAGCTTTTTTCTACTTCATTATTGTAACTTCAAACCTTAAGTTACAAGAACAATATATCTACTATCCTTATATTTTTATACTTTAATTCTTTCGTTTCTAGAAATTAGTGGAACATTTCGCTCAATTGTAAAAACTTAAGACGCAATCTAATTAGTGTCACTTATCAAATAATAAAAAATAATATTAAACACTGTGAACGTTAACTCTTAATAAACATAAACTACAATTAAAAATAACTCTTTTTTTGAAACAACAATTATTTCTAAAGCTACCACTGAAATGTTATATAAACTGTTCTTTCATTGTAATGTTTAGTTCTGTGTCTTTTTTGTTATACTGTTATTCCATATGAAAATTACTATAAACACCAATATCATTTCATGAATTTCAACGGATATTATTTTCTAATGGTCTTGAATACCTATTTTTAATAAAATAATTAAAATTAATTGTGTATTGTGTTTTATTTCGCCTACTATTCTTACTGTTATCATTTAGTCGGTCGTAGTAATATAGACACAGATTTGAAAAAAATATACCGTATACATTATAGACTCATGAATTATCTACTGACAAAATAAACCCTTTATTTGTTAGAGTTAAATGACAAAATAATGTACTAATTACATACATTTATGTCACAAATTTAACCACAGCAAACCAAAGGTAATGAATTCTAAAAACTACAATAAAACACAATTGCAATACTTAAAATAAAAAAAAAAAACACTCAAGCGGCGACTACAATATCTATTTAGCAGACCGGTAAAAATTCCCTGCAAGCAAATAAAAGCAGGCAACTCAATGCATTGTTATTCAAAACTCAATTCACTAGTAACCAATTCATAAGCCAAATCTCGTCCCTCCACTCGCCATAAGTACGTTATTGGAGTATTTAAAGCGGCCTGCGGTCCACTCGGCGCGTCTGTAATTGCCTGATAACAGTACACTCAGAACACATTAATGTACACATAGTTATAGGAATCATAAATAGAGCTATTCTTTGTCTTGTTAACACTGCGCCGACTGATTTCAGTTAGCGTCGAGTGTTCGCAAATAAATTGAACACACATAAGAGTAATAGAAAAGTCCTGTCCATTGGGATTCGGGGAAAATACATTTATTGCAACTGCACTCGATGCAGCTTAAAAAAATTCACGGGAATATGGCGTTGCATCCGTGAGAGATAAACTTTACAGCGGAGTAAACGTATGAAAATATACAAAGTTTTTTCTCTCATTCGTCCCAGTTTTGCATATTTTTTCAATAGACAGCGCACGCTGTTGGGTGCGGGGAGGACGTTCGCCTCGGGTATCGTTTTAATTTTCCGCCAGTCTGATATTTACACAATCAGAATGAAGCATCAATTTTAATGAGCTTAAGTTAACGATACACAGACTAGTGAGGGTAGAAGATGAATTCCTTTCAAGGGAAATTAATTTTAATTTGAACTAAGATTTTGCAAATAGAACACTATAGACCAACTTCAGCCAATCTCAGCCAATTACCTGCATACTTATCATGTTAATATTATAAATGCGAAAGTTTAGATGTATGGATGTTTGTTAAAGTTTGTAGTCTAAACGGCCGAACGGATCTCGATGAAATTTGGTACAGATGTAGAGGATAGTCTGGAAGAACACGTAGGCTCACTTTGGTTTTTTTTTAATTCAACGCGGACGGAGTCGCGGGCGAAAGCTAGTATTTATTAAAATATATATAGCAATAAATTATGGCGATAGTAAGTAAATTTTACCAGGGTCAAATACTGATATTCGTTTACTACATGATTTAAGGCAATATTTCTCAACTAACATCGTCTTAAATGTCAATAAGCTTTTGCTGTAAGCTTTAATTTACGAAATTCGCCGAAAAACTATTTTCAATTCCACGAATTCTTCCATTAAGTTTTCTTTACTTTTATTTAAGTTCAATTATCAACCATTCTAACATTTTCTGCGTAATTTAATTAATTTTCTTTGTTTAACATAACTTACAAAAAAAGACTAAAGCTCATGTATACTTACCCATCAAGTATAACAGGTATGACGTACTTGTCACAGTCACTCTGCCCGATGACGGATATAATTCAATTAGTAATTAATTGCTTGATTAAGTTGAGCACTCCACCGAGGGGTGTTTTGTTTTATTACGAGAAATATGATTTCAACCAATAGGGCGATGGTCCGTGCTCTTTAATGGTATATATTTATGGTGAACGGTTTGTTTCAAATTATTTGAGTGCTGTATTAATTTAGTCCTTAAATACCTAAAGTTTCAAATTTGGTACCGGGATTGTTAATAACTTTGGGCCACCTACAATCTATTTTATTTTAATATTAGGCTGTTTACATGTCAATGAACACGTCATATGATTAATATAAGAAAATTAGATAGATAATATTATGGGAATTTACATTTAAAATGTATCTTCTATTAAAATTAAAGTAATTTTACAGCAGAAATTTCCATACCAACTATTATAAGTACTAATGAGACATAAGTACTGAGTATAACTAAGTAAAAAAACAGTGCGCAGGATTAACTTAAAGCCAACAATGCATTGTTATTCTCGCACGCGCACTAACGTGTGCGCACGCGTTTAAAATGCACGCGCTGATTATAGCAGATTTAAGTTTTAAGCACATTGCACTTACAAGTGTAAATAGTTAAGGGGAATGCTCCCATACAATCTCTGTATTATCAAAATAACAGTGTTTACTAAAACTTAATACACTAAACGTACGAAAAGGAAAAGTTCGCTCTAATATACGGCCGTCCCTTAAGCCAAAGTGCCCTTAATATTGTGCTTAAGAGAGCGTAGGCATAGAGATGTTCTGAGGCTTTCGAAACCAACACTTCTAAGCCTTTTAATATCGCTTTTACCGTACTTGACACCGTCTCACTTTAATGTTGCCATTTCAAAATTATAAAATTTGCTTTATTTAATGTTATTTATCGTAATACATCTTTCAATTTTTAATTTAGATGATTTATAAACTGTTGATTTTTTAATAGACTTAGTTCTAACTTCCCAGAGGTCATAAGAACTGACTATCATCAACATCTCACTGTTCAATCTATATGGAGCCTCTTAGAGTACTAGGTATTCTACACATATTAATTATAATATAAAATAATGTTATAAAGAGGAAAGATTTGTATTTTTGTATTGGAATAACTTAGAAACTAATGGGCCGATTTAAAAAATTCTTTCACCATTAGAAAGCTATGATATTAGCGAGAAATATAGGATATGTTTTTTATTATTTTTATCTCACAAAGGCGAAGTCGTAAACAACAGCTAGTCATTATTATAAGCAGTATTAAAGGTAACTAATGCTTGTTTAAACTAAGTTTTTTCCCACGATTAGTCTTGTAGGATTACATATCAACATAAATAGTATTCATACATGGTCTTTAAATGGATATCACTTCCTACTTGTATTTCAATGTCACCATTCTGCCAGACAAGATAAAGTCCTCGCCAGACGTGATTCAACTTAATTCACTTAATTCTCACATCGGGATCATTGTTACTTTAACATCCTTATAAACCGTCAATGATGATTGGCCAAATTTAATTAAAGCATCCCTTAGGGTTGACACGGAATGGGTTGTAAAGTTTGAATGGCGCGGCACATGGGCCTAGAGTTTTGTAATTTTATTAATGATGTAATAACAGTAGTGTCAAGCGCATGTGTGTGCTCCATGAGCGATAGCGCAGTCGTTAGTTCGGACGGGTTAATAACAGAGGGTTGAATTGGGGATTATCTGTTAAATCCTGCACTATAACTATAGCCTGCGCCCGCAGAATGGATTGAATTTACAACAATGCATATCATACTAATGTTATAAATGCGAAAGTTTAGATGGATGGATGGATGTTTGTTAGCATTTGTAGCCTGAACTGCTAAACGGATTTTAAATAAACTTGGTATAGATGTAGAGGATAGTCTGAACACATAGGCTACTCAATTTGATTTTTTTTTGAATTCTACGCAGACGGAGTTGCGGGTGAATGCTAGTAATTTTCATAAAACATATTCCACTTTTCAGGAATGTAACACAAATTATAGTACGTCTTTTGTTTGTGTTTAATTCTTTAATTATATTAAATTTAAAATTTAAACTCTAGATGTAATATTTCACAAAGTCTGTAAGTTACATCTCAGTACCAACATTTTAAATTACATCCATTTTTCAGGAATGTAACACAAATTATCGTACGTCTTTTGTTTGTGTTTAATTCTTCATATTTAACAATCTGTAAGTTATCTCAGTACCAACAATTTAAACTAAACTAATGTCTGACGTTATTTTCATAATTCTCCACTCAGAATTGCGAGTATTCGCCGTACTTTTTCATTACTGCATATCTTTATTACCCTTCTTTTAAACAAATTTGAATTAAAATACAACTAGTTTACGTTATCTGTGACAGTTTTAAATAGCACAATTATACAGTATTCTCCGACTAAATCTCCGACTAGTTATAAAGAAAATACAAATTAACTAGAACTCAAATAAAAATTTAAGGCAAGTCGTTTAAATAATTTTTGTAAGGAAAATTTGTCAAACACAAGATTGATATTGCTAAAGCTTGTTTAGTTATGTATACTAAAATTATAAAGGGGAATGTTTTGTTTCTTTTTATAAGAGAAGGGGCAAACGAGCATCCGGAACACAGAGTTGGTCAACGACGACCATGGGCATCCGCAACACCAGAGGAACTACAGATGCGTTGCCGGTCTTTAAGGAAATTATAAGCTAAGTCGTATTTTTGTATGTATTGAAATAACACAGAAACTACTAGTCCGTTTAAAAAAATCCTTCACTAATAAAAAACAGTAAGTAACATAGGCTACATTTTTTACTGTTTTAATTTCACGTGGACAAAGTCGCGAGCAAAAACTAGTCTTCAAATAATATAACAAAGGATTCAAACCTACGATATTATCTTTCCCAGACCGTACGTAGAACATTAGACTATTATTTATGACTATAGTTCTACTTAAACCAAGGTAACATTTGTCTTTGACCCTCTCAAGACAACGCCAAACTTTGTTGCGTGTATTCTAGCTATAAATATTCAAAGTTTATGCCCTTTAAATATTGAGAATACTGACACTATTGTAGCTGTTTGAATTTCACTATTAAATCATAGCAAAGCTTCGAACAAAATTCTTCGCAGTATTGGAGGTAAAATATTTTAGAAAGCAAAAGTAATGTTCCATTCTGGAAACATGTCTTCATATTGATGAGAATACGGGACTGTCCCACCAAATCGTGAATTGT